GTGGTGGTGGCGTTCCCGGTGCCACTCACACTCCACGCGGACGGTGACACGGCGGCTGCGCGTCCCCAGCGCGTTGGTGGCGTTGCACACGTAGGTCCCGGCGCGGGCGCGGGTGACCGGCTCGGGCTCGGTGCTGASCACGGAGCCGCCGTCGCGGCCGCAGCGCACCGTGGGCTCGGGGTTCCCGGTGGCGCGGCACCACAGAGCCTCCCGCGCTCCCCGCACCCACGTGCGGTTACCGGGGCAGCCGCCGGCCGGGATTTCTGGCAAATCTGGGGAAAAAAAAATTAAAAAATGGAGGTGGGAATGGCGGGAGCGGCGGAGCTTTGGGCGGAGCGGAGCGGGAGGAGCGACACTCACAGAGCACGGAGAGCCGCGCGTCCGCCTCCTTTGTCACCACGGTGTCGCCCAGGGCCAGGCTGGCCCGGCAGCGGAACTGGCGGCCGTTGTCGCGGCGCCGGGCCGGTACCCGGAGCTGCAGCCGGGGCTGCGGACCCTCGGCCAGAACGGCCCCGCCGCCATCGCGGAGCTGCAGCCGCGCCTCGGGCGGCTCGGTGGCACCGGAGTGGCATGTCACCGTCACCTCGCTGCCCGCCGGGACCGCGGCCGGGCTCAGCTCCAGGGCGGGCACCGGGAGCCCTGCGGGGAAGGTTCCGTGAATCCCGGGGGGTTTCGGGGTCCCGGGTCCCCCCGCCGCTCCCCCGGTGCCTTACGGTAAACGTGGAGCTGCCTCCGCGCCGTCCGCTCCGCCGTGGCCACCGCGGCCGTGCAGCTGAGCTCCCGCTGGCCCGGGGCGAGCGGCGACAGCGCGGTCACCGCCGTCACCGTGTCCCCGGTCACCGCCACCGTGGCGTTGAGCGCCTCCCGGTCCAGCGCGGCGGTGACACGGACGTCCCCGGCCGGGAAGGCACCGGCGATGGTGCAGGTGGCGTTGGCGGTGGCACCGACCTCGAGGATGGCGGGGGCCTGCAGCTGAGGGGGCTCCGGGAGAGCTGCGGGGACACCGGGAGGGACATTGGGAGGGACACGGTGACACCGGGAGGGACACGAGGACACCAGGAGGGACATTGGGAGGGGACCCCGGTGGCACCGGGAGGGACACGGTGACACCAAGAGTGACACCGGGAGGGACACCGGGAGGGATACGGAGACACCGGGAGGGACACGGAGACACCTGGAGGGACACCGGGAGGGACACGGGGACACCGGGAGGGACGCGGTGACACCGGGAGGGACACCGGGAGGGACATTTGGTGGGGACCCCGGGGACACCGGAGGGACACAGTGGCACCGGAGGGACACAGTGGCACCGGGAGGGACACGATGACACCGGGAGGGACATTGGGTGGGGACACCGGAGGGACTCAGTGGCACCGGGAGGGACGCGATGGCACCGGGAGGGAAGCGGTGGCACCGGGAGGGACACGGTGACACCGGGAGAGGACCCCGGTGGCCGGACCGTCCCCAGCGCGGTCCCCACGGATGGGAACGGGGAACCGGAGCGCTGCCGGCACTCACCGAACACCGAGAGCGTGACGGGAGCGGCGGCGCGGGCGAAGAGCGGCCCGTGCGGCCGCAGCGACAGCTCGGCGTGGCAAGTGACGTGCTGGCCGTGGTCGCCGCGGGTGACGGTCAGCACGTGGCTCACGGCCACGCTGCCGCTGCCCGGGGCCGGCCCGAAGCTCTCGGTGCGCAGCGTTTCGGCCCCGCGGCGCAGTGTCACCGTCAGGTTCCGCAGCGGGGCCACCCCCAGCACGCGGCACGTCAGGGTCCGGCTGTCCCCAACGGCCACCGGCGCCACCGGCTCCAGGGACACGCTCTGCGGCAGCTCTGGGGACGGGGAGGGTGTCGCCGTTGTGTCCCCTC